GATTATTCAAGGTAAAAACCAATCATTGGAATAATTTATTCTTATTCATGATTAAGAATCTCCCACTATGGCTATTTAATCATTTCCAAGATGATTAAAACCCTCCTACTGTGACTGTCGGAGCACTCTTTCGTAGAGATGAGATTCAACGACTACATGTGGTCAATCTTTCCTCAGGAAACTCTCAGGGTATAATTTTGAAGTGCTTAATAATTCATGGTCCTCCACTACAAAATCCCTCACTGATCAAATTAATTGGCGATGGGTCCGCCAAAATTCTTTATGGTTAAAATCCTTCAAACTCACACTGTGTCTAATCTTTAACACTCTCACTGTTGAAGTTCTGACACAACATCCAAAATTTTAATCTGCTGATCCATGATAATCATCGAACTCCCTTCGTGTCAATATCTTATCACTTGACACCAAAAACCCCCAATGAGTGTTTTGTACAAATCAACATTCTCATTGTTATTTGTACCCGCACTCATACTACCCATTTGGTCAAACCTTTAAATAGTTAGGACCAAAGCCAAAATCATCTCTCGATTCCTTCCATGAACGAGAGGTCCACTTTCAAATTGAATGATCAAACCTTTAAATAGTTAGGATCGTCACAAACTCCCATTTGGTCAAACCTTTAAATAGTTAGGGCCAAAGCTAAAATCCCCTCTTGATTCCTTTCATGAATGAGAGGTTCACTTTCAAATTGAATGATCAAACCTTTAAACAGTTAGAGTCATCTCAAACTCTCATTTGATCAAACCTTTAAATAGTTAGGGCCAAAGCTAAAATCCCCTCTTGATTCCTTCCATGAATAAGAGGTCTACTTTCAAATTGAGCGATCAAACCTTTAAACAGTTAGGGTCATTTCAAACTTTCATTTGGTCAAACATTTAAACAGTTAGGACCAAAGCTAAAATCCTCTCTCGATTCCTTCCATGAACAAGAGGTCCACTTTTAAATTGAATGATCAAACTTTTAAATAATTAGGGTCGTCTCAAATTGCTCATTTGGTCAAACCTTTAAATAGTTAGAGCCAAAGCTAAAATACCCTCTTGATTCTTTCCATGAATGAGAGGTCTACTTTCAAATTGAACGATCAAACCTTAAACAATTAGGGTTATCTCAAACTGCTCATTTGGTCAAACCTTTAAACAGTTAGGGCCAAAGCCAAAATTCCCTCTCGATTCCTTCCATGAATAAGATGTTCACTTTTAAATTGAATGATCAAATCTTTAAACAGTTAGGGTCGTCTCAAATTCCCACATGATCAAACCTTTAAACAGTTAGGGTCGTCTCAAATTCCCACTTGATCAAATCTTTAAACAGTTAGGGCCAAAGCCAAAATCCCCTCCTCTACTCAAATTGGACGATCAAACATTCTACAGTTAGGGTCGTTTTAAAATTCCCGCTTGGTAAAATCTTCAAACAGTTAGGGCTGAAATCAGAATTTTATCTCGATAAATAAGAAATTTATCTTCAGATTTGGGTAACTAATCCTATAAAAGTTAGGGTTATCCGGATCTTTTTAATTCTCAAAGTGGAGATCTCACTCTTAGTTTCACCTTTAGGATTCTCAAAGTGGAGATCCCATCTGAGTTTCTTTCACAGTAAGGGATAGAGTATAAAATTCTTCTTCTCCAGCATCGGATTCGTCTTTGCCCCAAGAGAAGACCTTAACATAGAATATAAAATTCTTCCTCTCTAGCACCGAGTTTATCATTTCCCCAAGAGAAGACACAATCTAACAAAAATCCCATGCCTTACATGCGTGGAGGATATTATCTTGATCCTTAATTAGAGATAAACCTACGTCTAACACGCGTTGTCGGGTGGTGCGTTCTCGTGAAAATGACAAAGTTTATATATGCGATATCATAGCACTAAGTCTAAAAGAGTTCATTCTTTTAGCACAACGTTACATGCTAGCCCGACTCAAACGATAATCGATAATGACTCATCAAATCTGTTGATGGCTGAGGGTTTACCAAAATCCTATAATGAACAGCTTGTGATGATGGATTCGCTCTTCTAACTCGAAGAGCTTCTCTTCATAAAGCTTGTACAAGCTTCATCTTCAATCGGCTTTATCAGTTGGTCTCGTGACTCGAGCGCCTAGGGTAGCTTCAGAGATAGTAGCTGTATCAACATCTGCATCTGGTCCTACAATCAAATTGTTGGGAATTAGGCATCCCGAATAATAGTTTTTAATTTTTTATAAGGAAGCGTGTGATCCTAGCCCAAAACCTGCCCTAGACCTATCCATATCAACTCCCAGGGAGGCTCTAGGCCCTGTAAAAATTTGTAGCCATTGGCCCTTAGGAATCACCCTGGAGTACTAATTTTCTTTAACATATCTGATTATTAATAGATTGCAACTAGAACTACAATGCTACAGATCTAACATTACAAGTTTAGATCTTTACCTTTATTCCTTCGTTGGTTAAGAAACCACGGCCGAGGAAGATGTACTTGCTGCCTTGAGTCTTCACGCCTATGATCAACGATTGCCCTCCATGTGAGTAGTGGGACTCCGATCAACACGTCAAGATCAACTTCTCCTTGACTGAAACCACCAAGGAAATCTCTCTCTCTTTCTTGTTTTAGTTTTCTCAAAAACCTAGTCTTCTTCAACCTCTTAACCGAGAGAGAGGTGAGATCGTATTTATAAAACCAAGGGTATGGAAACCACTACTATGTTTGCTTCTACTGTTACGAGTAGTTGTACAGATTCCCGCAACCAGACTGCTAGCTGACTCAAGGGGATATACTCCTACCGAGGGTGGATTCCATCTTAACATAGGAGTTCCTAATACCTTGAACTTAGTTACCCAATGCACCGAGGTATAGGCCTCTTTGCCACAGTCATTAGTACATCAAAGCAGCATAAGTCCAATGTTTGAGTTCGCCTCATGTCTCAAGATTAATAGTTGTTTCATCCATAATAGGGAATGAGATTATACATGTTTTGATGTTGACAGAGTTTTAAGAGCTCTACCCCTATTTATAGTAAACATCAGTGAATGATGTTAGACCGGGGGGGGGGGGGTGATTAGGGTCTTATGCTAATCTAATCCTGATTAAAAGCCAATTAAAAACTTTATTAATTAATTTGTTCTTGCAAGAAATATATGAATGACTTATGAGCATGTATGTAAGAAAAAATAAGCACAAATAAAATGTACGCCAAGCAAACACCAACAAACGATATGATTACGGAGTTTGGTCCCCACGACCTACATCTACGCTCCTCACCTCGAGGAGATCTCCACTATCACAATCCGGTTTGGAAGCTGGAGCTTCTACACACTCAGTTTACAAGTTTACCGAAAACTCTCTCACCACAAACACTATGCAATCACACTTTACACACTAAGTATAGGAACCTAGCCCGTGTCCTCCTCCTCAAGTGCTCGGATGCAACCTCTCCCTAGGTTCGTCAACCGACGCCACTCCTATTGGATTTGACCCCGTCTCTCGCCTCGCACTTCTCTCGGTGTACAAGTGTATTACAAGTGATACTCACAAATAAAGGTTAAATACAATGGTTTGTTCTCAACAACAAAAGAGAACGCAAATGAAGCTCACACTCACTAAATCACACACCACAACCCATAATATATAGTATGGAATATTAAGCTCAATACACAGTGTGTGATAACAGTGAATGAAAATATGTAACTCAATAAATATAGCTAAGATATGAAAATAAAATTATAAGCTATATGAAAAGATGAGTTAGGAAAAACTTCTCAATAAACAAGAAGAACAGTAGAGGATGATGAGGATAGAATCCTCAGTTGAAATGAAAGGCCTCTTCTTGTTGTAGCAGACTTCTTTTAAAACAGATGATCAGAATCAACTTAAACAGCTCTTTAAACACACTTAAGATTTTGTTAAAACAAAACTTGGTTATTGAAAGAGAAGAACAATGGGGTATTTATACCCACTCAAAATATCAGCCAAAACCAACTTGAAAAGACCAAAATAGCCTCAGACAATCAAATCAGAAAATAGCCGTTGGAAAGCAATTATGAGTTTGACGGTCGACCTTGGAAATCTTGCGGTCGACCGCGAAGCACAAAAGCACAGAAAAAGAGATTTAGAAGCTGGCAGTCGACCGTGACGGTCGACCGTGAAAGTCTCTAGATGGAGCCACGATCGACCGTCACGATCGACCGCGATCCAATAAAAGGCAGACTATGAAAGTTAACCACTAGCGGTCGACCATGGCGGTCGACCGCAAACTGATATATGCTGAAAACCTGTTTTGGGCTGATTTTGAAAATACTTTAAAAATATCAAATTAATTCCAAAAATAGTAAAACTTTGGGGAAAGTTTCTAAATGATAAAATAAACATGTTTGAAAAGGAATTTTTGGAAATGCAATTTTCGTTTGTGAAAACTCACTATTTTTGAAAAGTGTTCATAAAACTTGTTTTTCGTGAATATGAAAATTAAGATATGACTTGTAAATACGTATATATATATATATCATGCATACATTATATATATATATAATAAAGTATGAATGAGCTGTAAACATGAAATAAAAACTATTGTAACAAAGTTTGATGAAAAATCATTTATATGATAGAAAACGTTAAATCTGTGTTAAGTGTTCATATATTGAGCTTAAATACAAACATATAATATATGTAAGTAAACTACTCTTATACCTAGGTGAATGCACATGCATGAACTTGAATCTTCAACTCTTAATTGTCGTGTGTTGAATTGCCTAAAAAGAGAAGAACCAAACAACGAGAACTAGAAAACATATTAGCTATAAATTATTTGACAAATCATCATCAAAACTATAGGACCAACAATATTCAGTAACACTAATTGAACACAATAGTATGTCAGCTATGAGAAACCCTCTCAAATGGTTGAGATAGACCATCCTCCAATTAGGAGCTGAACATACTACAATCATAACCTGACAGGTAGCCAAAACCTGACAGTGACTGCGAAAGTATTAAGACAATTGTACCTCTATGACTTCTATCTCCTTGAGTGTCCCACACTTAGTAGTTATAGACCAATAGTCTAAGGGCTCTTTAGCACATCTATAATCATATAGAAAAAATGTAATATGCAATATCAAAATGTTATCATTCAGATACAAGTGTGTAGTGAAAATTGGTTTGAGGGCATACCAAACCCAACACAAATCTCGTACAAAGAGCTCAAACTGACGAGCCTCCGATGTATTTTTAGCTTGATCTTCCCATACTCTGATATGTATACGAGTATAAACTGCACCTTTTTGAACCTTTAATAGGTACATAGGGTTAAACTGATTCCCAAAAAACTCTAAGGAGTACATGAGTATAAACTAATTCTCCCTGGTCTAACACCTTAAGAGCTTAAACTGTATAGACATCAGTTACGTATGAGTATAAACTGTGTTCACGTTACAATGAAGGTTGACGTCAGTTAACACATCGACAACTTTGCGAAAATAAGATACAGATCAATTCCAAGACCAAGGATAATCCTTGGGAGTGCAATCATAATTCAGATATGAATTCCCGACCAAGATGATCAGTTCATCGTCCACTCAACGACACGAGCTAATTCACAAATCAGCACAACAACTTCACTTCAAGATTTTAACAATGGTCAAATGATAAACGTAGCACCAAAATTTTTTAAGCTATTTAATAAAATACTGAATTGATTAAAAGATGGAGAAGTCAATGAATTGAAGTATGTGTATCATATCCAAAGTATTCCAGCCTCCTTTATGAAAGAATGAGGCTGAACACTCTAGAGGGGGTATTTGTAGACATCAAAAATTGCCTATAGGGTATCACATATAAGCTCAAGTTGAAAGGAAGGTGATAAACGCTATTATCTGAGTTACAGGGAATCACCCAATGCCAAAGGACGACTAAGGAGCCAAATCAACAATGGAATCACAATCCGACAACCCCTACAAACCGAGTAAAGGTCGACGTCTCAATCAATCAGACGAGACGACACCTCCTGTGTTGAGTCAAAAGAAATTTGACATCTCAATCAACCAGACGAAATGACACCTCTTGTGTTGACTTGAAAGGTGGTCAACGTCTCAACCAGACAAGATGACACCTCCATGACAACTCGAAAGGTGTTGGCGATCAACTCAAATTTCAAGACGAGACTCGAGACAAGATCTCCTTCGCATCAACTTGAAAGGTGTTAGCAGTCGACTTGAAGTCTGAGCCGACACCCGAGACGAGACCTATTTCATGTCGACTCGAAAGGCGTTGGCAGTCGACTCATAGACCCAAGATGAGATTTCCTTTGCATCGACTCAAAAGGCATTGGCAGTTGACTCAAAGTCCTAGATGAGATCCCTTCACGTTGACTCAAGAGGAGGTGATAGCCGACTTGAAATCCGAGACGAGATGATAGTTTGAAATTAAGACGAGATCAGCGTTGACTAGATGAAGATGATAATTCATATGTCAACTTGAATGGCGAACTAAGATGATACCTCATGTGTCAACTTGAAGGCCGACATCTCAAGATGATACCTGAGACGAGACCCCCTCCATGCCGACTCGAAAGGCGGCTTTTTCCGAGACACTAGAAAGTGTCTCGGCAGAAGACCAATCTTTGAAGCCAAGTCCCTTTTGTATCTACTCGAAAGGCGGTGTCGGTTGACACGCCTTAAGTCGACTTGAAAGCTTCCTATCTCACCAAACGACTCCCAATATTACAAGGAACTAAAGAGAAGATTCAACGATCATTGCGATGCTTTGACAAAAGTTAATGAATCTCTTTAACTCAAAAAATCAACTAAGGAATGCCCAAGAAGCGTATCACACAAGTTTCAATGCACAAAACTTGTCTCAAAAACTATGAGAAGACTCATAGTTTCCGAGATAGTTGCGGCTATCTCGGAAGCGATGAAGGCAAATCATAGTTTTCGAAACACTTACGACTGTCTCAGAAGCTATGAAGGCAAATCATAGTTTTCGAAACACTTGCGACTGTCTTAGAAACTAGAGTGGATTTGGTGATGATTTTCTCGAGTTTTGGGTGATCCACGTAGCTTCATAACTGTTGGGGACCATCCATAATCACAGGGGAGATGTTACAAGCGAAAATCACACCAATAACTGCTAAAATAATGACATTAAAGCATAGTGGGAATGGTTACAAAATAGAAAGGAACGAACCCTGTTTTCGAGACAGCCGCAACTATCTCAGAAATAGGGATTTTGTCGACTTGTTTTGTTTCAACTTCAGACTTCAGACTTCAGTTACGATTCTTATGAGTTGTAAATACCTTCCTAGGACCATTACTGAGAGAGAAAGGAGAACATTATTGATCAGAATAGAGCAGAGATTTGAGCGTTTTAAGTAAGGGAGAGAGAGAGTCTTCATCACGTGCAAGCCTTTCAGAGCTCTTGTGATTCATTGAGATCTAAGCTTTGACTTAATCTCAAGAAGAGTGTTTTATTTTACTTTGCTAAGATATTCACTTCTGTCTTTGTTTCTAAAATGAAACATTGACCTTAAGCCTTCTTCACGGTTCAACTTAGATCTATGATTTGGTCGTCCACGGACTAATGCACCCCCGACACAGGCAAAGATCCCACGCAAACAACAAACAATAAACATTTCTGCATGTGTTTCTAGGAAGTTGTTTGTTTATAACGAGAAGTCTTATAAAAAGATTTATTTCTCAGAATTCATTGTATTCGATAAACGAGTTGTAATAAGCTCAATAAATAAACTAATTTCTGACGCAAACACTTACCGATACTTTATCAGTGCTTTAGGTATGTCGATAAGTAGGGGGTAGTTAAAAAGGTCTACGCCGATAAGCATCCCTTTAAGGGAGAGGAGAACTACTTTACCGACTCTCTTCTTTATGATGAAAACACACAATCAAGGTAATCATTCTAGAAGATCTCTTCAAAAAGATCTCCATAGTGGTAATAAGGTGGATAGTGAACCTGACCAAGATAAATATCTCATTTGGGAGATGGAACCCCTTGTAATTGTCCTAGAAGATCTTTGTACAGGCTAGCTTGTCAAAATTCACGGCGACTAGATTCTTAATGATAATGTAGAATTTGCTTATGATTGTTCTTTTGGCTCTGAGCATGAAAACTCAGAGGTCGATGCTTGTCTTTCTAGGTTAGCTTTGGAATTGTCTTTATATATACCCATAAAAGGGTCATATATAACTCACCAACAGCCGACAACTCAGACACGTAGACAGAACTAGGACTTGAGAATTTACCAAGTCATTCTTTAGATACATCTGATTTGGACTCCGATGTTAGTATTGTACCATGTTCAAAGAGTTCACGATCAATATGGTTTCATATAGCTAAACCAAAAAAGCTTAACAAACTAGGAGTGTTTGAGATCCGGAGAATGACCCAAGGGTAAAATAGCTTAGGGCTCAATGGGAATTGTGCTTTGAATTACACGAACCACCCACCGAAGATAGGATGACCCAAGTCAATATAAACAATGAAGACAATCACAAACCCATCTTCATCAACGAGAGTTTATTATCCACTGAGAAGGAAGAATTCATATCTCTCATTCAAGAATACATTGATGTCTTTGCTTGAAGCTACGAAGACATGTCCGGACTGGATTTGAGTGTAGTTATGCATCTTCTCAATATTAACCACGGCATCAAGCCGGTCAAATAACAACAATGACACTTCCAACCTAAGTTGATGGAGCAAATTGAGATAAAAATATACAAACTTATAGAGTGAGGTCTCATCCATGAAGAGCAACACTCAAACTAGTTGGTCAATATTGTCATTGTGACAAAGAAGAATTGGATGATTAGATTCTACATTATTTTAGAGATCTCAACTTGGCTTTTCCAAAAGATTAGTTCCCTCTCTCTATCACAGATATCATGATTGATAATATTGTGGGTTTGAGAATATGTTGTTCATGGATGTTTTTTCTTGATATAATCAAGTTAAGATGCATCCGGATGATGAGAAGCGCACATCCTTCAGAACATCCTTGGGTATACACTATTATACAATAATATCCCTTTGGTCTAAAGAACACTGGAGCCACCTACCAATGAGCAATGAGCATGATCTTTTGCGAGCACTTACACAAGAAAGTTAAATGCTACAATGCCGACCTCGCGATCAAAAGTCATCGCAAAAAAGATCATCTCTTGAGAATAGTGTTTCACATCATGCAAAAGCATCAACTCAAGATAAACCCAACTAAGTGTTTTTAGGGATACATGTGGACTCAAAGAAAGCCAAAGCCATCCATGATATGCCACCTTCAAGAAATCTCAAGAAACTTAGAGGTTTATAAGGGCGTCTAGCCTACATCTACAGATTCATAGCTAATCTGTTGAGAAAATACCAACCATTTTAAAGGTTGATAAAGAGAGGAGTTGTTAGATATAGGTGCCCTGCAGACAATAATTATATATTGTAACAGGACCTATATGAATATAACATCCTTATTCAAAATGATAGTATACAATTTTGGTCAGTATTTATTTGATATTTTAATATAGATAAAGTCCTTAGAATGATACTAGACTACCAGATATTTCGGATATGATCATAATGAAGAGATCTGATTTGTCACAAATGTATATTCTTAAATGTTCCTAGTCGATGAAGTGTTAAAATGAGACTTCATCACTTTGAGAAGACTAGTGTGTACTCTATTTCTCCTTTGGTAGGATGATGATCAATCTCTTAGATCATTGATGTGATACATCAAGATATAGTATACACGTGACTCATTAGTGAATGAGTTGACTGAATGACTCACTAAGAACGTCTATTTAATAATTATACTTAACTATCAAATAGAAGTTCTAAAGTGATATAGTACAAAGTAGTCTTTTGACCTGAGGCATCAGTGCAATATCTTACATGTCAGTATAGGTATACTTAGACTTTTACCTAATCACAGTTCTCATTGAGTTATGTATAACGGTTCTTATTAGGTGCATCCCGAGACATAAGTAGATATTGAGATGCCAAAATAAGATTCCTCTCTCCAAGTATAAGGGGGTTGATGTCATAAGATTATTTGATATAACTATAGCCTGGAAATCCTTGGCCAAGGTAAATATATAACTATAGCCTGGAAATCCTTGGCCAAGGTAAATAAGATAAACTGAGTGTCAGTTTGATCTTAAAGGTTATGAGTTTAATATCCTTGGCCAAGGTAAATAAGATAAACTGAGTGTCAGTTTGATCTTAAAGGTTATGAGTTTAATATCAACTAACAATAATCCAGCTATTAGGGTTTGACAGTTTTCCATACCCTAGGCTCTATAGTTTGACATGGTTTGACGAAGAGACCAGACTGTATGGTATTATCATTGAGTAGTCCTGATAAAATTGTGTAAGCATCCTGCAGTCATTTATCATAACTTATACACGGGTAGTCTTTATGTGTAGCTAGCACCTCTGTTGTACTTATGGATATGATCCACTGCCGAGTCTTAAGTTGGTCCCTAGATTCACACCAAGCGCATACTTGAATCCTATGAACTACAATTTATAAAGTTAATGCATATGATTGATACACATATATGATTTTCACCGGATACACATAAACGATTATATGTATCGGTAAAATCAGAATGCTATGTGCGTAAGAAATAAATTCCGATATTTTTCCCATAAAGTTAATTTTTAGTCAACTGGTTGACTTTTTGGTCAACAGATGACTTTTGGTCAACTCATTGATTTTTTTGGTCATATGATGACTTATTAGTTAATGATTTGAAAAATTACGCAATACCGTATTTATGAAACACCGTATTGATGTGGTATTTTTATTTATAAAATATACACTTCATTATACCTTGATTAATGAGTCATGAGATGAGTTATTAAGGTGGTATGGTTTGGGCACATGGTTTTAGCATATAGTTTTGATTTTTCATGACTCTTTGCATGACTCATGAGATGAGTCATTGCATGACTCATGAAAAGAATCATTACATTTGGATGACTCATGGCATGACTCATGAGATGAGTGATGACATATCTCACTCTATATATATGAGCTCTCTTTCTTATGGAAAGGTTAATGACAAATTAGCTAAGTGGTTTTTTCCATAAGAGAATAAAAGTGAGCTATCCTCTTACTAAACTCTAGCAATATTTGAGTAAGAGAAAGTGGTAGGATTTTATAGTACCCCGGGGTGGATATCTTGCCTTGTGTCTTAAGAAGACTCCGATTTTATTAAGCTCATTTGGAAACTTGGAGATACACTACAAGGAGGTTTACAACAACAAGGAGACAGAGCTAGGGGTTGTTTGATCTACCATCGAATCACGCTACGAAAATAAGCCTTCAAAGCTCTTGGTTGCTCTCTTTTTTTAGGTATCATGTTAGACTTAATTAGGATAGTCCTAGCTTGTTTTTCATGCTCTCTACATGCTTAGTATTATTATACATATAGTCTTCTGTTTCGTATTTTGCATGTATTTAGCAAGAATTTTCAACATGGTGTCAGAGACATAGTTCCATCTAATTGAATCTTTACATGTATATCTAACCCATAGAGGACTTTGTACTTGCTTCTAATTACTAGTTTAATTAAAAGATGTTTTAATGAAATTAGTTAATTAATACAAGTTGTTTTGTAATTAGTTATACTAGTTGTTGATTCAAAAATATTATTTTTGATTCATAAGTTTTTAAGAGTAAAAACACTTATATAAATTGCAAAACACTTATTTACAACTAGTGTAGTTGTATGTTAGAAGCATGATAGTCCTATTTGAGTTAGGATAATCCCTATGTTATATAGTTTTTCAATTTGTTGCATAACTAGATAGATGCATATTTCTTAATATTGATTAAGTTATATGCTTTATATCATCTTGCGTGGTTGTTATGTTTATGGATGATAATGAAAAACGATTCTCTTACATTTATTGTATTGATGTAATATAGCTAGAAATATAATATTATTTATGACATCTTTCCTCCCCGAGCATGGGCTACGCCTACGGGTTTTGGCACTTGTTCATCGATCATGGGCTACGCCTACGGATATAGGCCCTGTTCGGGTGTGTGTGTGTGGGGGGGGTATGGTTGTTTAGTTTAGGTTTTTTATTTATAGCTTTTATTTTACATTCAAAGCAATATTATTACCCATCCCACGAGATGGTTTTTTCATTATAAATGAGGCTTGCACGTCCTATGTATATGTGATTGTAATAATACAGGATTTGTAAGGGAGCTAGCATTGCAAGGGGTTGCAAATTGCTTACTAAAATGTAATTAGTGTAGTTGCATTTTTATTCCTTTAGTTGTCC